GCAGGACTAGGGAAGTGATTGTCCTCTGGTACTTGGCAATGGTGAGGCCACACCTTGAGTACTGTGTTCAGTTTTGGGCCCCTCACCACAAGAAAGACCTTGAGGTGCTGGAGCGAGTCCAGAGAAGGGCAACGAAGGTGGTGAAGGGTCTGGAGCACAAGTCTGATGGGGAGCGGCTGAGAGAGCTGGGGGGGTTTGGTCTGGAGAAGAGGAGGCTGAGGGCAGACCTGATCGCCCTCTACAACGACCTGAAAGAAGGGTGTAGCGAGGTGGGTGTTGGTCTCTTCTCCCAAGTAACGAGTGATAGGACAAGAGAAAATGTTGTTGTGCCAGGGAAGGTTTAGATTGGATCTTAGGAAGAATTTCTTCACTGAAAGGGTTGTCAAGCATTGGAAGAAGCTGCCTAGGGAGGTGGTAGAGTCACCGTCCCTGGAGGTATTTAAAAGGCATGTAGACATGGTGCTTAGGGACATGGTTCAGTGGCGGACTTGGTCATGATAGGTTTATGATTGGACTCAATGATCTTAAGGGTCCTTTCCAGCCTAAATGATTCTCTGAGTCTATGAATGTGAGCTTGCAGCCCAGAAAGCCAACTGTATCCTGGGCTGCATCACAAGCAGCATGACCAGCAGGTTGAGGGAGGGGATTCTCCCTCTGTACTCCGCTCTGGTGAGACCCCCCTGCAGTACTGCCTTCAGCTCTGGGGCCCTAACACAAGAAGGACATGGACCTGTTGGAGTGGATCCAGAGGAGGGCCACAAAGATGATCCAAAAGCTGGAGTACCTCTCCTGTGAAGACAGGCTGAGAGAGTTGCGATTATTCAACCTGGAGAAGAGAAGGCTCTGGGGAGACCTTATTGCAGCTTTTCAATATATAAAGGGGGCTTATGAGAATGGTGGAGAGAGACTTTTTACCAAGACCTGTAGTGACAGGACAAGGAGCAATGCTTTTAAACTGAAAGACAATAGATTTAGACTGGACACAAGGAAGAAATTTTTTGCAATGAGGGTGGTGGGACACTGCACCAGATTGCCCAGAGAAGCTGTGGCTGCCCCATCCCTGGAAGTGTTCAAGGCCAGGGTCGCTGGGGCTGATGCACACCAGGGGAAGATGCCCCTGCCTGTGGCAGGGCGACTGGACTAGATGATCTTTAAAGGACCCTTCCCACTCAAACCATTCTATGATACAGCAGCACATGCTGACAGCCACGGTATGGACAGCAAGTCAAACATTGACTGGGCTTGACAAGTGTCAGTAGTTGGCTGTGAAGTGATGCAGCTAGTTCTGAGGAGACATTCAGCAGGGACTGGTCAGGATGGCAGCTTTCTTGGCATATAATCTGTATATGAAAACCTAGAGAGGACTCATGGCACCAAGAGAAACAAATATGCACTCACACAGGCGGTGAGTGGTGCGTAGGTAGGAGTAACTATTTCCCCAATGCCCCCACCATCCTTTCTGGCATGTGCTTGTAGCGGGTGTGCAGCGAGGGTCCAGGGCAATCTGGTCATGGTGGGTGAAGCAGCCCCTCCATAGTAATTTCCTCCCACAGCTGGATTAGCACTCACTCCAGTTACCTCTTGGCTCTCTCCCCAGTGTAGCCGCTGGCCACATCCAGAGCTCCACCACGGGGACTGGATTTGACTTGCTCAAAAGCCACGGCGAGGGTTAGCCATCCTGCTCTGCTTTACCACCTGTGCCTAGGGTTGGCTGCACACTCGCGGGAAGGGCAAAGGCTTGCTGAATGCTGGATGACATCTGATTCTCCTGCTTTTCCATGCCCAAGTGCCGCCCCTGTAAATCAGGGCGTCAGAGTTCAGCCATGGAAAGCTGATGCAAGTCAGCTCAGGACCTGACTGTGATTTGGATCCTTTGAATTAAGACCGCTGACCTTCACAGAAGTCACCTGCACATTGCAAGCTGTATTCCCCTGAACCATGTCACAGCTGAACTTGCCCTAGTAGTACAAAGCAGTCATAACAGCGGTAAAAAAGCAAACAGGATTTAAAAATATACACACAAAGAAATTATAGAGGATATCAGTGTATGAATCCCATTGTGCCCACAAAAGTGGATCAAGTAGCTCCTTGATGTGTCTATATTTTTACTGTATTGGGTGAAAATACAAATCTGCTGATAATCATGCATGGCTTCATCTTGGAGGAGTGTAATTCCTTATAATGCTATCCACAAAGACTGACTAATGCTGTATTTTTTGTTCTTACTCACGTGAATTATAGTTGCATACTGAGAGGCATATTGATCCCAAGACTGAGAAAATAAATTGTAATAGATTCCTTGGCAAACCATGTGTAAACCTCAACTTCCTTTTGCTCTTGTTTCTGCCATATGACTGCAGTTTTAAAGTAATAAAGTAAGTTAATTATAAAAGCCAGGAGAAGCTGAAGAGGGGTTTGGTATTTAAGAGTCCCTGGTATTTGTTTTAAGAACACTCGGCTGTGAGACTGCAGTGCTGGTTAGTCTCAGACATTCGTCTTCTAACAATTGGAATTATTTATCAACAGTTGTGAATTTAGGAAATATAGACTGCATAAATGCTTGAAAAGAAATAATCTCAGAAAGCTATCACCTTTCCAGGAATTTACATTTATTTTGATCTTATATCTTTTTTCCCCTTCTAGACTTTATACACTGGTATTGTCATTTATGCTCCAGCTTTAGCATTAAATCAAGGTAAGATGACTGTACAGCAACTGTTCTTCTACTGTTACAGTTTTTACTGCATATACTACTGGTATTCTTTTTTTTGGTAATGTGCAGCTAAAAATATAGCTCAAGGCTTGATTGTGAAGTCTTCTAAGATTTCTGTTCATCCTGATGGGAACTCTGCTAGAAGGCCTCCCATTTGTAATCCTAGTCCCTTAATCCGTACTTGTAAGAAATTATAGAAGAGGCTCAAGGGGAAAACCTGCTTTCAGTTACTCTGCCTCTCATGCAATATCCTCAACTGATGGCTACATTCAGAAAAGCTAAGAAGACTCAAGTAAATTTTGAAGGCAACAGAGACTAAACACACATTTAATTCCCCTGGTTAACTGCTCTTCTTCAAGAGGAGAGCAAGGCAAAAGTTCTGTAAATATGGTTTTGGGCTGTCTGGAAGTCTTTAACTGGGCCTATAATTTTCCAGGAAAACCAAATCAACAGCAAAGAGATTGTCAACTTACGATGTTTGTTGTGATGTTTACAAAATGAAATATTTCCATTTTCTACTTCAGAATGACTCTTTGCTTTGAAAATGAGCGAATTCTAAATTTAAAAAAAAAAATTAACGGGGAAAAAACCATTATGCGGAGCCAAATGAAAATTTTAATCTGACACAATGAATTTGGCCACTTGGCCAGAAAAGGCAATAACAAAATGCAGATAAAAAATTAATCATTTTGGCTAGAATGAAAATCACAATTGTTCTGTTAGTTGGGTGTTGGGTTTTTTTGGGGTTGTTCATTGAACAAAAATGGAAGAAAAAACCCAGCACTGTCGGCATTGGTCTCCTCCGGTGTGTAAGTCCCACAGGTTTTTTGTCCCTGATGTTTATATTTGCCCTGCAAATAGATGCTAAACGAAGCTATGACCTAGCTGGCTCCCAACCAGAAGCAATGTTTTTCGTTGGCTTTGTTGCTGTGTTTCTCGTTAGCGTGAGCTCTCCGCCGGGGACCCCCCAGTGCCCAGCCCAGCAGCACGCGAGCGTGCCAAGCCAGAGCAGCGACAGCCTGCGTGCCAGCCGCAGCACAGCGTTGGCTGGCGTAGACGTACGATCATGTTTCCCTAAAAGAAAAGAATAAAAGAAAGGCTTTTAGTCTGACATTTCTTCCAGACCGTGCTTGAACTACCTTGCTTCTGTGGGGCATCCCCATGCGGTTTACTTGCTTAAATCCCTGCCTCAGGGCTCTGTGGGACTACCCGGTGCTTCAAGGAAGGACGTGGATTTTACAGCCTTCCTGAGCTGGGGCCTACAAACATATTGGCTGTGTTGTTTGGCAGCGTTCACATTTGAGACAAATAGCTTCCTAGAGCCTGAAATATATCTAACGTTTTAGCCATTTCCAATGTCTGTATCAACTGTTTCATTTCTAGAACTGGTGAGGGCGAATCCCCTGGTTTATACACACTAAACTTTTCATTGCCATTTTTACCTGCTACTTTTGCATTTAACTTATTTCTAGTTTTTTCCAACAACCAGATTGGAGGTGAATAATCTACCTTCAGTTTTTTGTCCGCAATGCCTCCTTCACACCGGTGCCATCTCCCTCTTTTTCAGTCACTGGCTTCGACTTGTGGGGTGCAGTGGTGGCGACCGGCGTGGTCTGCACTTTCTACTGCACACTGGTACGTGGGCCCCACAGCTGAGACAAGTCTCTGTTCCTCTCACCATTCACATCAAATACGGAATTTATTGAAAGGCAGCCTAATAAGTGGGTTACCCCATGGGAGTACATGGCAGTGTAGCTGTAGCCACAGGGCCGTATTCACCCAGGGACTTCTCTGGATGCAAAGGTAGCCGCTATGTGACTCAAACCTTTTGTGTTTTGATACATTCAAGCTTCTGTTGTTGCTGAAAGAGCAGCAAAAAGATAGATTTCCCTTCTTAAAAATCCTCCTGTGATTTTTCTTCTAATGTAGTACGTTTTAGCTGTGTAATTTGTCAAGCACCTGCGTACTGCAACTATAGTAGTCCTGCCTCTTACCGAATAGGGCCACTGAAAATAGCAAGTGCCACATGAACAGATTAGTCTTTAGATTAGTGTTAATTGACCAAGTGTCTAGAAATTATTAAATGGAACCTCAGTGACAAATTTATTTGTGTATGTTGGACAAATCAAGTTTATTTTTATAGACATGAATGGTATGCCTTCTGGAGTTAGTGGTACTGTATATATGTAAGATGAGCACTGTATGCCAATTTATCTTTTGATACCCATTTCTGATTCAGGTTATGTGATGCAGGAAACACTGGATTAAACTATGTGTATGGTCAAAGTAAATTCTAGTGCACTTTGAAAAAGAGCCAGGCTGTCCTAAATAGGTTCCAGGATGCAATTCCTAAACACTCCAGTACAGAATTATTTCTATTAAAGAAGAAGATAAAATTCCTCTATTATGCATAATACGGATAGTAACATTTCTCTTAGTTGAATGTGAGTGCAAAGCAAGAGTGCTGCTGCCCTGTTGTACCTGATACTTGCTGTTCCTCATGCAGGGTGGTCTGAAGGCAGTGGTGTGGACAGATGTTTTCCAGGTTGGAATCATGGTGGCTGGATTTTCGTCTGTGATTATACGAGCTGTGGTGGTTCAGGAGGGAATTGGACGCATTGTAAATGATTCCTACTATGGAGGAAGATTAAACTTCTGGGAGTGAGTTTGTACTTGCAGATGATGTGCCTCTCTATTCCTACAAATAGAGCCCATGTGACTAACTGTGAAATTAAATTGCTACTGAAGGAGGAGGAGGGGAGGAGTTGCGACCCATTTTTTGTATATTTTTAAACAGGCTTACCTAGTTTGAGGGATATTTTTTAGATTTTTACACCACGCAAAATCCTGTAAAGAGAAAAACCTTTTTACTTTGTCAAGTAGGTGTTTTAAGGATACATTTTGGATGCCACTGAAAGTGAATGGTGAATGGGAGAGGACAATTTATATTTATACTTAAAATTTTCAAACAGCTGATTTGGCATTTCAGCTACTGATCCAACACAACTGGGAAAATAATAGGTTTTCTCTAATCTGAGAAAGGGAAATGGTTTTCTTTTCCATGAAAGAAAAATTAGAAGTAGTTTTAATAGTATTTTACCCTCCATTATTGTAACTAATCATAGCCTAAAAATACCATTTTGCAAAGTCAAGTATATTCATTCTGACTGTTGAATCAAAACCCACTCTAAGTTAAAAAAAAAGTTATTGTACTTTTGATGAATAGGTGTTTCCTCTGAGAAACTTCACCCAGTGCTCTTAGTGAAGGTTTCGTGCGCTGAGTATTACCTTTTGTCCTTTTGTCTATCAGTTCACAATATTAATCAGGTTGTCTTCACCAAGTTCTTCAGTAAATAATTCGTCTGTGGGTAATCTTTTCTTCTCGTGAACAGCCATTTTTTTCAATCTGTTTGGCTGATTTGCAGTGGTTATACTGCATTGCTTCCCCCAATCACGGAGTTCACAGATGGAAAAAGAAAAGGAATAAAGGCATGTAATAGGTGAACTACTATTACATTGTTCACCAAGATAAGCATCATTTATTGCTACATTAAAGTGTGACTTTAAAAAAAATAATTATGGCCATCTAAACTCTGTTATTCACTTAGAGCTAAACTAGCAAAATGTTTTACAGAGGCTCTGTCCACAAAGGCTGGGCATGCAAACACATCCCTATATTGGTGTTAGACTTATGTCCCTCTAGATAAGCAGGCATATTAGAGTTTTTACTGGAACATCATTTCATCACAACAGTCACAAGCATCATACAGCTTCACCTGAGACTGTGGTTTATAGGCAAATAAATTAGTTAAACTTCACCTTTGGACAGATCAGAGTGTTTCACTGGATCAGGATTTCAGCTCTGAGTTTTAAAATTTGCTTTCTGTGATTTCATGTAAAGTTGGAGTATCTGAATGTTCAAAATCTGGCCAAATTAAGAGAGTTTGTATTAGAACAAGTATAGGGAAATTTTTTCTCCTAGGCATTAAGGCCTTCTCATAATGAGAAGATTTTCATACTCTGAATTTGTTTTCTCTTTTCCCTCTCACTGTAGCTTTAATCCCAATCCTTTGCAAAGGCACACCTTCTGGACGATTGTTATAGGTGGGACTTTCACATGGACTGGCATATATGGAGTCAACCAGTCTCAAGTACAGAGATACATTGCATGCAAAAGCAGGTTCCACGCCAAAATGTAAGTCTGCTTACAGTAACTCTTAATGTCTGAATTTAGCAGTGACTGTTCTTTATAAGGGAGATCTTTTTCTAAAGGAATGGGGTTTTTTGTCTATATAAAACCCATTTGTAAAGGGTAACAACTTTTGCTTTCTGTTTTGTGGACCAGGTAGAAGACAAATCGGCACAATAAATACTGGTATTTGAATTACATATAACTGCTGTAACATCGAACTTTGTGCCAGAATGTTTCACTGTGCCTGTATTCTTGCATACAAATAACTGCATTAAGTTTATATGCAACCTAAAGACCTAAATCATATAGTACTTGTGCTGAAGCCATATCAAGACAGCATCTTGAATTGCTACTCTACTAAACCTAGATCATTGTGTGGGAATTTTGCATAAGTAAAGACTAAAAGATTTTTCCATACTGATGAGTATAGGCATGAGAAAATGCAGAAATGTTTTATTCAGTGATAAAATTGCTGAGGAATCATATATTTTGTTTTCGTAATGATCATGAATTTTTTCTTAGGAATTCACTATGGAAACTGGCAGAGGGTTCTGTTTTCCTTGAATTTAAACACTTCTGATCAGCCTTTACTCTAGAATGGAGTATATTTACTAACTCTATTATCTTATCTTTATATTTAGTATCATTCCAGTAGTTCACACCTCAGGATTTAAGAATTATTAGCAAGCTCATGAAGTCCATTTATAGGAGAAATATCTAAATGCACATCATAACTATAGTCCCTATAAATTCTATAATACAGTGACATGCAGAGAAGGAGTTTTATGAAGGCTTTCACTTCATAAAGTTAGCAAAATGCTCACAAAATCATGCACAGTTTAGAACTGAAGTATTTAGGTCATGGCAATAATCTGTTTTTCGGCCATTTATGCTGCAGACAGGAACAAGCTGATGCTCGTCATCAGCCACATTTCCAGCGTACAGTGCCACATCTCCAACACACCGCGTGGCTTCTCCGCAATCTCAGGCGCATGGCTAGCTTCCAGGTTCTCGGCACTGCAGAGGCAGGAGGTGCATCCCACATCTGTAATTAATGCTGCCTGGCGTGGTTGCCTGCAGGAAAACAGCCGCGTACATTGTGCCAGATTTGTGTGCCAGTGAGACTGTTCTCCCCGAGCACCTGCTCCCCTTGGGGCTGTGCTCCTCTCTCGCACCCTCCTTCCCCTCTTTGTAAGGAGGGACACCTCCTGGGCATCCTAGAAGCAGAGTGTGGCCAAGGGGAATCTGGCACCATGGCAGCTTCTGGGCAGATTTTCTGAGCTGTTGCAGCAGCTTTGACCGGGGCTGGAGGCTATCTGGTCCTGGAGGGGTTTGGATGGGATTTATAGCTCATACCATATCAGTGGTGGCACAACCTTAATCAGTAGAGTCCTCTCCTGCTGGCTTGGGTGGTTGGACTCCTTGGCGTCTTGCTTGTGCCTTGCTTGTGCGAGGTATTTCCCCTGCATGGAGAAATCATTTTGTATGATGGTTGCAGCTTGTCACAACTATAAACACTGCCATTCTGTGGTGACTATCTAGTTCATTTGCAAATGTAATTAGACACATCTGGCAAGTCACATCGGTGGCCTGCACCTCTTATTGCCATTTCACCTGTACATAGAACTGTAAAATGTCATCAGGTCAAAGTAATAGGGTTTTGTACCCCTGTGGCATTTACTATAAGGCTTTAGAAGAGACAGCACAATAACAAATCAGAGCTGAGAAAATAATTCTTTCACAGATCCCAGCTTGCAGGTTTTGGGAAGACCTCTAACAGTGGCACAAGGTTAGGAATTTTCTCAAGCTTTGGGAAAGGATTTCACCCCATTCAAGAAGCACACCAGTAGGTAGGAGCACATGCTGTCATCCTCAAACAGTAACTAGGCAAATTGAGCGTAATGCTCATATACGAACAATAACAGGCACTCAGAGCAGGAGAGCTACACTTTCAGAAAAATATGGGCTACTAACACATTTTTCTTTACTTTGCTTTCTAGGTCATCATCTGGCATCTTTCAGTGCTAAAATCTTTAAGCCAGCCTGAAACAAGCAACCAAAAATAAGCATTGTACAGTCACAGTGCCTACTTTACTCAAACTCCACCCCATGTTACTCAATCAGATTTAATGGAAACACCTCCCTCCAATAGTGCTACAATTATTATACTCCAGTTCTTAGTCATAGGGTGTACCATGAGCTGGGATGTAAATCAGAAGAAAAAAAACCATCTTTATTTTCACTGTCAAACACTGACACAGTTTGAAAACAAGAATTGCTGGATTCAGACAATTTCTTTTGCTTCCGTGTTTCTCTTGACTTTCTAATCTTTACTACAGGCTCTAGGCTAATACTGCTATTACATCTGTTCAAAAGAGTTGGATTCGTTTAACACATTGGTTAAATTTTGTGCTGAATCAGCTTCTGAGTGCCTTATATCAAGGCAGATTATGCCAATGAAGGAGCAGCTTCAGCTGAATGGATGCAAGACATCCAACCAATATGTAAGCATCTATAAGAAGAGGACTACTTCATTTTTACTAAATTGGTCTAGAGAAAAATTTAAAGTGCTGCTAGTTCTGAGTTTAGACCACCCCTAATTGCAAATTGAAAGCATAAGTGCTGAGTTTCCCCTGCTGTGTGTAAATCAGCTTTTACTTATATAGGTCTTTTTTAAGAGTTTACATTGTGCTGGTCAATAGTTTTTCTGTGGTATAAAACTGATAGTTCAACTAGTTTATCTGCGTTATGCCTTTCTGAAAATATCCATTTCGATGCCTAACAGGGCCCGTAAAGTTAGGTTTACTTCTTTGTTCATCCTGATGGTCCTCTAGAGCAGTCCAAAGGCTGGTGCCCCTTACCTTCTTGGGAACTGAAACCACTAAAAGACCTCCTGAAGCATTGCAAGCATGCGTATATTTGCACAGAAACCAAAGGTCCTCCCAGCAGAGGTCTTGGCATTTGGCACAGGTCCAGGGTATGTGATCTGTCAGGCAGTTAAATGACTATGGACAGATAGTACACAGATAACTGCTGGAAAGGAACGCTGTTTTTCAAGGCCAAGCTCCTGTTGGGTGTGTTTGCTTGAACTGACCATTGTAGGTGAGGAGAACTTTGTGACCCAGCAATCATCAAGAGCTGAGAAACATTTGAGAAGATCGGATAGTTAGATGGAAGGGAAAAGCCCTCACTAGGCGAGGAGAACAATTTGTTTTTCATTGCCGATAGAGGCTGCCTGTTGTGTGTGGCAAAAGTAGCGTTAATGCCTGATGAAGATGCATTTCTTCTCTCAGCATTAGCTGAAGCTCCCGTCAGGGCGTGGGGAGGCGATAGGGTTAGAGGGCCATGCCAGGCTCCAAGTTGTTTAGTTGCTAAAGGGGAAGCCCTGGGGTCCACGGCAGCGCCCACCTCTCTGGAAGCAGCAGATGTAGGTGGCTCCAGATCAGGTCCCAGTGCCTCGCTGCCTTCCGCCGAGACTGTCCCGGGAGGAAGTGGGGGATTTGTTGCTTTACAAGGGCAACTCCAGTGTTGTGTAAGCACAGCACTGCAGATCCAGAGGCAAAGGAGTGCTGGTGCTAACTAAAAGGTGCCCCGCACTTTGATCTGGGGCACCCCGCCTTACAAATCTGTCTGGGGTGCGGCAAAGGGGGAAGAGCATCTTCTTGCCAGCTGTCTGCAACGTAAAACTCATGCACATGGTGAAATGTGGGGATTACCGTATTGCTCCCGTCATGTCCCGAGCAGACTTTGTCAGGGGACGGGCGCTCAGACCGTACCACCCAAACCAGAAGTGTAATTCGTGTATTTAAAAACGTGATCTGACACCCGGTGAAATGCTGGGAGCTATACTGTGACTCCCTTTCCAGCGGGCAGCCGCCGACCAGGAGGTCTCCTCGGCGCTGGTGCAGGCGCTTGCTCGCTTGGCCCCGGCGGGGTCTTGTGGGACGTCAGGCTCTAACATGTGTTTGTGTGGGTGTTGTGCAGGTCCCTCTACATCAACCTGGTGGGCCTCTGGGCCATACTGGCCTGCGCGGTGCTGTGCGGGCTGTCCCTCTACTCCATCTACAAGGACTGCGACCCGTGGACGGCAAAGCAGGTGTCGGCGCTCGACCAGGTAGGGCCCCACATTTCAGGGGAAGGGGGTGAGGGGGCATCCTTCCTCTGCAGCCGTGATAACCAGACGAGGCGGGTTCACGAGCCAGGGGGTTAGGAATAATGACATGCCTGAGTCCCGTGTCAGGTGAGTCTGTAACACTGAGGGATTAAGCTGAGACCATGGTGGGAGGGAATACCCTGGAGAAAGGAGCAGACCTGCCCTCGGCACTGTCCAGTCCCGGTGTCCCCCAGCTGTCCCGGAGCTGCAGGTAAGGAGGGCAGCAGGGAGAGCAGCGGTATGGAAAGTGCTCAGTCCACCGACCTTCACAGGTATTTGGGGTTTTCACCCAAAATGGTCCCGGGAGTGCCAGCATTGCATGAAACGGCTTCAGAGCAAAGTGAGGGGGAGAGGCTGCCACCAGGGACAGTGGGCGCACAGTGGCACCTGTGTGAGGGACTGCGGGCCCTAGCCAGCTGCTTTGTGTCGCCCGACTTACACGGCTCTGTGCCAAGGGAGGCGAAAGCCTTTTCAGCTTCGAAACGTTATCCTGCCCAAAGCGTACACCTGGAAAAAGACTACCAGCAGGCAGTTCTTCGCCGATGATGGTGTATCCTTCCCTCCTTCAGAGGAGAGCTGGGCATTCAAACCATGTTGTACCGTGCTGCGGAGAAACCACCTTGTGACTGGCGGCGGCCTCTCCCTAAATAGGCCCCGAGCAGCAGACTGACCTGAGGAACAAGAGCTCTGGGAGCCCACAGACTGACCGGAGTCAGGGCCCACGGAGATCATACAAGTCTTTTTTTTGTATGTTTATGCCTGGGATAATCATAGGCTCCTGATAACACCCCACGGACAATAGCTGGAAACCCAGCAGAAGAGCACGGACAATGGAGTACCTGAGGCAGGACCACCTGGTCTTTAAGGGTAGAATAAAATGAGATACAGAAAGCTAAGGTGGAAACCCAAAGGAAATTAAGTTGCTCCTGTCAGTCAAATTCTTTTGGTGGAAACTGGAAGCAAGATACTAAAAAGAACAACTTGTCTGTGAAAAGAATGGTTCACGGGAAGAAAAATCTTAAAATTCCTGTCTCTTTCTAGCACTCAGATCTTGAAAAGGTCAACAAATGGCACGCAGTTTCCAGTAAGGAAATTGTTCTCAGGTATCCTGAGGTTACTGGACTGTATCTAAAAACCTTTTTGTGGAGTCAACAGCAGACGTAAGCATCTGCTGTGGCACCCAAGCCCAACAGAGTGATGTACAATACAGACTACGTGCTGCCCAGCGCTGGCTTCCTATACCATCGTCACTGGCAGCTATGCCTGACGGCACAGCTGTATTCTCACCTCTGCTAGGTGGTCTCAACAGACTTTGCTGTATCTCAGGTGGATGCTTTAGGATTGGTTTTCTCTGTACAAAACCAATAAAGAGTGCAAGGTGGAGCATTAAAAATTAGAACAGCTGGACAGAATGCCAGTGAGAAGGCTATAACAAAAATAATACGGTGACAAAAGGAAAAATTAGCGCAAGATAGTAATATTTCTTACTCTCTGAATTTTTCAGCTAATGCCATACCTAGTGCTGGATATTCTCCACGATTTTCCAGGAGTGCCGGGGCTTTTTGTGGCTAGTGCCTACAGTGGGACATTAAGGTAATTAAATAATTTGGAACCTAATGTCTTGTCTTTTTTTTTCTTATTTGTCAGAGCTAAAGTTGCATTTATACTAAAACTTTTGCATTTCATTTCTTTGTCTAGCTAATTTTTGTTCTTTAAGAAAAAGCACTGTAAGATCTTTGATGATGCAGCTTAAAAATCCATAGTTTCCAGCAGTGGCGCTCTGAGGTCCTACGACTCAAAGCTGTTTGGAGTTCCCTACTAGCAATGTGAGGAAACAGCTAGCCACACAAGATGTACAGCACTAACAAATCCTCCTCTCTGTGCTTTGAAAGCCCCTATGCTATAGGTATTTTTGAGTATTATAAATGGGTGATTACACAAAATAGCTACAGTTTGGGGAAATTTCCTACTGCTCATTTTTAATTTTCCAGTTTCAAACCTGCATAACTTTAAAACGATCTCCCTTTCCTCATCCCTGATCTTTAGAGTCTTGTTTACAAAAGAGTTCCTATACTTCCAATTGCCTTGAATGAACTCCATGGGAACAACAATCACTGGATATTTTTACTGAAGGAGACAAATCAATCCCCTTCTATCCCATAGTGGGGAGTTTTTGTTCAGCTTTCCCAAGGAGCATCTTTTAGGAAACATCACCTCTCTCGAGGAAGGCTCTGAACAATAAAAATGAGGAAACTTAAGAATGTGACACGAGCATAATTTTTTTGTTACGAGTACTTGTAGCTACATAAATAGAGGGAACAGCCAGGATCTTTGTTTTTCATGCACTGAGGAAAAGCTAGTTGCTTGCGAGAGCAAGGTACACATAGACACAGTTGTGCCTTAGGAGTGCTCCTTTCTCTGACCCCATAGGAAGCCTGGAATAGTTCAGTTTGGACTAGATGCCTAATTTTTAGATTACTATAATTAGATTATCTGAATCCTTCTCTGAGAGTGCATTCAAAGTAATCAGTGACCTGCATGTAGGAATTTTGCCTACCCAGATGTACACTGTATAGATCATTTGTGAAGGTGTCACATATACCAATAGTGTTTACAGCTTAGCCACACGTAATAGATATTTACATCGACTTCTCCAGGCCCATCTTTTCATCAAGATTTGCCTTGTCTTCACTAAGAGCAATTATTTTAATCAATTTTTGTAAGCTATTAACTGCATCACCTGGAATAATAAGTTATTTCAACCAATACAGCAATTACATTAGTTTTCTGACATTGTTCTAGACAGTGGCAGTTTCTCTCTGCAAGTAACCCATCTGTTATCTATGATTTCAGCTTCTAAGATAAAAAAAAGATATAAATCTTGCCTCCTGTAGTACAGTGTCCTCCAGCATCAATGCTCTGGCTGCCGTGACTGTTGAAGACCTCATTAGACCGTACTTCAGATCCCTCTCTGAAAAGAAGTTGTCATGGATTTCCATGGGGATGAGTACGTCTGGAAAATATCTTTTTTGCTTTACAAAGTAAGGGCTTGAGTCAGATCTCGCTTATGGCAGTGTAAGTCAGGAGTAAGTGCATTCACACTGAGAGGACTACAGTGGTGCAACATTTGGGGGAGATGAGATCGGCTGTGTAGGTTTTGCACAGAATGGGGGACAGGCTATTTCAAGCGAGCAGAAGGAAAAAAAGAAGCCATCTTGTTTGATCTTTAAGCAGGAAAGATGCATTGCCTCCGTATTCAACATTGATTTGCAGTACTACAAAGCCAAATGTCTCAGACTGAAACACTTGTTATTTTTCTTTCGTCTGTCAAGAATGAGAAGCATAGGAAACAGTTTTGTAGCAAGCCTTTTGAAGTGATACGCAAGCAATAGCATTGTGCCCCAGTAACATTCCAGAGAACAAGAAACTTCACGTCTTCTCTGATATACTCTCAGACCCTCAGTCTGTTTAGCTGCTCTGTTTAATGTAGCTCAAAGAAGAGGATCGGAACTAGGCTGAGCAGATGGTTTAAATCTCTGAAGTGCAATTGCCGTTTCTGCCAGCCGTAGTCTATGACCAGCTGCAGGTGTACCCCAAGACAGTGTTTGTAGTAAGGGTGGAAAAACCCCAGTCCCAACATGGTGTCATAGCCCTTAGTGGTGAGCACAGCAGACTGGTGGCAGGTGACAAGTATTAAATATTTTCACCTAAGAGCAGTTTCTTAAACATTATTGCAAACAACATTTGTGGCAAAATTGTTGTTGGTCTTATCATGAGTTGCCTGACATATCACGTTAAACAGTGAGATTAACCTATTGCTTGTACAATAAACTCAACAGGAGTGGAGGTGTTAAAAACAAGTAAGGCAGTGTTATGAGTCCTGGGAGGAGGCACTACGTCCTGGTGACCCAGGATGTTCTTTGTCATGGCGCCAGCTCCCAGTGATCTGCCAGCCTTTACTTCCTTGCTCCAAAGAGTTTAGACTGAGAAGCAAAAATCATTCCCTCAAAGTAAGGACTAGACACAGGAGATTAGCTGAGAAATACAAACAATACGTGTGGTATTGCCACTATGGCTAATCCATCCGGCTGCCATTTAGTAACTAAGCTGTAGTAATACACAGGAGGAGGATTTTGTCAAGTTTGCGTGATCTCCTATTAATGTAAACAGAAACCTGACCTTTTGGCCAATTCAGGCTCTCTTAGAAGAAACCCGGATGCTAGCAGGTTCATTTTGGAGATGCCAGGGACCATGCTGGCTTAGACAGAAACATTTCCATCAGTGATTTTCAAACTTTGGCAGATTTATGCGTCGTTCTGCCTTTCCCACACAGGCCTGTTTTATGGCGGAGTCTGCATCGCTATGGCTGCACTGGCGTCTCTCCTGGGAGCCTTGTTGCAGGTAGGTGTCAGGCTGCTTTTTCATGCCCATGTTCAATAAGTCAGAAGGAATTATGTAAGAAAATAATTGCTGAATACCATTATGAGATTAGTTTTTATTCTTTGTTGAGTACTGCCTCAAACAACCCATGGCTCAGCCTTACAAGCACCCATGTAACTATAGCAAGTCCTGCCAACTGAGTACACACGAGTAAAAAAAAAATAAAATAAATCCTCATAGTTTTCTTCTCAACACCTTCCCTTCTTGCCACATTGGAGGCTTTAACTTTCTTGCACAGCATCTAATAGCAGACTGTCTTCCTTCCCCAGGCAGCGCTCAGCATTTTTGGCATGGTCGGTGGCCCCCTTCTAGGACTGTTTGCCTTGGGAATCCTCTGCTCCTTTGCAAATGGAATTGTAAGTAGGAGTTTTAAGTCTTGTTCATTCAAAATTCATTGATAATTTTGGGCATCTCCTTCCCCCTTTCCCCCCAATAATTTTATGTTGGGCAGCAAGGGAGGTGTCTTCGATACTTTCTGTGAGGAGATTTCCCCTTGCCTCCCTTTCCTCCTTATCCTAAGGAGGTGATGAACAGGGCTGTATAGGAGCTTGAATTTCCACCCCATGAAGAGATTTACGTGACCAGAGGCAGGGAAAAAACTGAATAAAAATGAAACTTTGGCAAGGATTTCTGGAAAACACAGTTTTAGAAGCAGGGAACAATGTGTCTTGAGATGTAGCTGCACAACCAGTAGACTCAGAGGATGCTGGCCTGTATGAGCAAAAGGGGGTCAGGCTGGGAAAATGGGGCCCAAGCACTTGCAGATTGAATTGGGGTGTTCTCAGAGTGCTTCAGTATCGTGAAATTACAATTTCCAGAGGAAAAAGCTATTCCATCAAAAAACTGATTTGATGAACTTTGGGAATATGGTCCATGGGCGAGTCTGGCAGGATTGCTATTTAGTAAAGTTCACTAATCACTAAGTTTTACATCTTTGCAGTTGCAATTTTTATGTGTATACTAAAAAAAAAAAAATCACTAGCCGTCAGCCAAAAAAGCCACAGTAGAAGAGACGACTGCACAAACAGATCACATGAGGAAAAGGAAAAATTGCTACTGTATTTGTTCAAGGAGGGCCTCAAATAAAGCAGTATTTTCCCATATACCATGCAGCCCAAAACTGTCCTTTGATTGTAAAGCCATAGTGGCAAACTAAAAAGAGGCATGCTCCGGAGCTGTGAGTAAACACTGTATTTCCCAAAAGGGGAATGAAGTAAGCTCCCCAGCTCTCCCCAGCTGTGTATTTCATTTTTGCTATGGAGCCTACAGTTTAGATTATCTTGACTGTTTCTTACTCACCTAGGTATTGATTTTTTTCAAATATCCTTTTGCTTTTCATGTAAATTCAAGTTTCATTTTCTGTTTTGCAGGGTGCATTTGTGGGTCTTGTCAGTGGCTTTGTTGTTTCACTTTGGGTTGGAATCGGGTCTCAGATTTATCCTCCGCTCCCAGAGAGGACCAAGCCACTCTATCTCTCAACTGCAGGCTGTAATATATCCTCAGGAAATATGATGTCAACAGAAAACCCATTAACAACAGTCTTCAACACACCAACTGCAGAGAGGTATACAAGTTTATTATGTGAAATAAATAAAGCATGTATTTGTTTTAGAGCAACACAAACATCTGCCTAGCATTTGGATTACTGTAACCCTCCCTGGTTTACCTACCAGGCTCTTTAAGATGAAGCAGTTTTCTCTGACTTTTTTTTTTTTCTTCTGTCAGACTGAAGTTTGTCTGAGTTATCCCAGAACAGAAGTCAAAGTGAATCTTCCTATTGATCTGAAAAATGTCAATTCAGTATTTGAGTATGAAGGCTTGGATATGCCTTACCAGAAACCATGGTGTTAAAGAAGGCACAACATTTATAGTTATTGGATTAACTGCCACAGTCCATCACATGAATTCAAGTAGGAGGCGGTTAAAGGGCAATTTGCCAGTTTAACAGCTCCACCTACAACAGCTTGTCCGTGCAGAAATAGTTCTATTCGGGAAATTCAGAAGAGGGCATAATCTGTACAATGGGGAAAATATAAGCGATTTTCTCCCCTCTGCAGTTACCGTATGTCTTACTTTGGACAATCACCATTAAGTGTAACAGTTATAAGTGGCAATATAGGGAACAGCAGGAACAGAAAGAAGCTGAACAAAGACATTCCTAGGGGTTCCCCATCCTTACAGCAGGTACACACACGGATGCCCAACATCCAGCTTCCTAAACTCCAGCTCTCACAGGAGGCCGCCAGCGTGGCTTCCCTGTTGCAACAGAGCGCATTGTCAGGGAGAGCAGAGTGAGGTGTAACCTGAGGTGTGATGGTGCCCTATTGTTTCTGGCTGTTTAGAGCCCCACATGGCTGATTTCCTACTTCTTTTTTGTGTATCACCTCCTTTAAATAATGTCCCCCCATTCTAAAGAAGTTATCCCTTCACCTGGATAGCTGGAGCGCTCAGCTCTCACTAGATTTCTAGCAGGGACAGGACTGTCCTGTTTTACCTGCTTGGCCCCGTGCGTTGCCTCACTGTACTGAGCAGTCTCCTCCTGTACGAAGGAATTTTTCCTGCAAATTTTAGAAGAAATTTTCAGTGCACATTTTATTGTACAGAGGTAGGTCAAGACTGCCAGTTCACTTGGTTCAGAAGTAACTCCGTATTTATACGCTGTCTGGAAACAGACAACATTTTCAAGTTGCTTGGAATAGGAAAGCGGAGGTTAACACTTTTTTCTGCTCTTTTTCAGGCCTGCCCTGGCAGACAACTGGTATTCCTTGTCTTATCTCTACTTCAGCACAGTTGGGACACTTATCACAGTAATTGTGGGAATAATTATCAGCCTCTTAACAGGTACTAGTTCCATAGCTGTGACTGAACGTGTCCTAGATCTCAGAGGACAGAGAGTATCATTGCCACGGGAAGTTCTGGTGACCCTGTTGCAAACGCTGTGTAAATGTTACAATCCTGAATCTCATTTTCTCCCCTCAGCCCTTCTGCATCCCACTGTATTCCCACTGTCTCTGCTTACAGCAAAAGTTACTTCAAATTTTTAAGGAGGAAGAAGTTTCAGCAGTTTTTTTTAACCTGAGGGGCAAAAAAACAAAAACCAAACCTGAAACAAACCCAAAGAAATCTGTCTTTCCTGTTTTATTAGATGCCAGCAGAGGCTGGAGGTTTAAGGGTTGTCCCTGAGCATGGCAACAATTCCAAGCAAGGAGATACACCCGTGCTTCTAGAGGACAAAAGCAGTTTTACTTTGAGTGAGTTCAGAGCACTCAGGGGTTATTGTCTGCACCTGTACAGCACATGCTCGTCACCACATTCCCCAAGCACGTACCTAAGAGCTGCAGACCCTGTGCGTGGCTAGGTTCACTTCTTTCTCAGTTTCCCTGTACTATTTGTGTGAGGGGCAAAAAGCCGCACCCTACGGATAAGAGCAGGGACTTCAGTTCCAGCCCACGGCCTCACCACGTTTGCATCTAGGTGAGGTGCAAAGTTTGCCTGTGTCCACCTCATGCGTGGCAGAAACAGCACAAGAGCAGCTCCTCTCACAGCTTTCCCCAGCATGCCCAGCCAGGTTCCCATGACAGCACGCATCTTCTTTGAGTTAGATTTCAGACCTTTTAGTCTGACCTGCAACTACCCCAGGACTATGAAATTCCAAACCCAGCAGACAAACTCACTTCCATTAGCTTCCCTATACCTTGCAATTAATAAGCACAAGTTACACTGCTACCATTTTCTTTTCCTTGTGAGTTTTGAGAGGATTTGCTCCCCCCTTTCTTCCCATCACAAGCTCTTCCCATTGCTATAGTGATGCCTGTACAGAAATTTTCCTCCTTGCCAGATTGAGATCAGGTCACCCACAGGCCATGAAACAAAGCATGAAAACTGGGCAACTCAGTAAATCTAGATGAGAAATCCTGATCCCAAGAAACCCAAAAGAACTACCACAATGTCACCCTGCTTTTTTGGGGGGCAAGATCCTATTTAAGCCTCAGGTGGCAATCAGAGAGAATTCCCAGCACCTGCATCTTTCTTTCCCACACACATTTTCCCACAAGAATAGTTATACAGTTTTAATAGTTAAATAGTTCCATGCCTTAAAAATGCCCAAACATCCCATTAACCCTCATCTCCCCACCTTGGGGCTGCCCTTAAAGAACTCACTATAAAAATCGCTGGTGACTCTGGAGACAGGATTCTTGGTGACAGGGAGCTGAGGACTGGGGCTCAGGCTCCAGGGCAGCACCTGGTACCACAGCTCCTGGATGGGCAGGGTGGTCCCAGATATCAATGTGTGGGATTCATCCTTTTCTGCTGATTGTCTCAGGTTTTTTACACCGTAAGAAATCTGAGGAGGATCTGGGAAACTCTGCGAAATGGCTAAGGCATTTCAAATAGACCTTGAGGGATCATTCTGTATTTTGAGAGGTGCAGGGTATGCATCACTATAAAGAAATGAACCTTAAAGCTTGTGATTGCTTGATGGCTTTTGCTGCGTGACCCTGTCCTGCTCACCGGGCCTGGTGCCCACAGCTGGGCTCTGACATATCATTTGCATGTGGAAACCTGGCTGAGTGAAACCTGCCTGTTTTGCAGGAGGACTAAAGCAGAACACAGATCGTAAATTCCTGTTGACCAAGGAAGATTTCCTCTCCAACTTCTCACGGTCTAAATCTGAGACAGTAAGTGTAATTCTGCATTTCTGATTTAAATCATTCTTTCCTCCTGGGGACAAAGGCAAACAGTGCCTGGCTTATTTTTCCCCACCAGGATGAATAGCACCTGATGCTGCTTGATATGACTGTCTGCTTTAAGGCGGTAGCACAAGGCAGGTAGGAGTAAAGCAGCTGGCATAGGCAGGGAAGCTGTGTTGGGCCACAGCTTGACTTCCTTGAACAGCAGAGCAGCAGCTGTGACAAGGGACAGTTGTTCGGGTTTCTGCCAAAATACTCCTTCACTAGTCTCTTGGAAACTGGCCCAAGGCACATTTTGGACTCAGCAAAACCTCCTTTGTTTGTAAATATGTGTTCTCTAAAGTCTGGATTTTTTTGCAACTTTGGCTATTGTTTGAGAGAAAGCATTTCTAGTCAGTGTATCTGTTTCCTAGCTCCCTCCATAAGATTTAAGAAAAAAGGAGACATTATTGGGTAATAACATCCCTTAGAAGGGAGAACGTAGAGGAATTTTTATTTTTTTTAATAAACTATAGATCACTTTTCAATCAGTATCATCAGGATGCTGAATGTTCAAGCTCAGCTTTGTTCAGTGCTTTTGGAGTGCTGCAGTGCAGGCAATGACCATATCTTCGAGATGGCTTAGTTTGCAAAACGTTTTTCCTCCATGATAACAACTCCTTTCAGTATGATCTCATGTATTTCAGCTTCTGGGTATGAACACCAGGGAGAGAGAGGGATTTTTACAATACTATTGTAATGCTGTTTGCCCATGTGAGGACTGGAGACCAGCTATTGTCCAGTTATTGTCATTCACTGTCTTTAACGGGCCAACATCTGTTTCACTATCTGGGAATTTAATCCCTGAAGTCTTTTGAAAGAAGAACACCCGCATGGAAGCTAATGTCCACAGCCACACTATTTCATGCCTGGTGTCAGAAAAATGTGTCTGCCTGGTTATACAGCTAGGGACTGGATAACAAGTGGTTAGCATCACAAATAATGCAGAAAAAAAATCAGGGAGAACTGAGCAACTCCCTGCACATGAAGAGGTCAACATATCATTATGTTTAACAGAGATGGAACATCAAAGCAATGATGCATGTTAATTTGCTCTTCATGTCAAAGATGGGGCACGGACCAAGGGTTGGGAGTCAGTAGCGCAAGGACCTGGTGGTGACAGACCTGCAGACTTGAAAATAGCAATTAGAACGTTGCACACCCTAAAATACTTTAGAGATTTGCAGGACAAGGACATTTTATGTGACAAGAACATTTTACACAACTAGTACCTTATGCAATAAGAAACTTTCCATACCCCTAGAAAAATATCAGCTACTGCAATGGATAACTATTTATTCTCAGCCAGCAACCAACATGGGTTTCCCTGCAAGGCATCCTGCATGTCAGGCCTGACTCTGCTTGCATGCAGGTCAAAGAGAGGAAGACTGTTTTTTCTACTTCACAGTGTGGCTTTTGTCTTTTGGTTTTTAGCCAGAGAAAGTGGAAGTGTTGCACTGGAAACCATTTACCGTGGCAGCTGAAGGAACTGACAACCCTGCTTTCAGCCACATTGAAATGGATGTTGCAAGCAGTAAGAACAAAGCCAACGGCCTTCATATATGACATGGGGCCACGTCAGCCAAGGAGGACAGTTTTGTTCATGTAAAGCACTGTTGACATTCCCGTGCCGGGTCAGTTACCAGCCCTGCTGGGGTCATGGGCAGGTGTCTGCTGAGCTTCATGGCACTGTCACCCTTGCATGACCTTGACATTAGTCAAGAAAAGAATCGGGTCTTTCTTGCACTTCCTCACTCCGTCCCTCACTCTGGATCTTGGTGACAGGGCTTAAGGCAATATGTGAAATAATTGCCTGGTATTCTTGAGCCTCCTGGAAAATATCTGCTTTTAGTCTCAGTTCACTCTCAGAGTAAATTCTTCATTCGGTAAGAGCACTGTTTCCCCCGACATGGCTGTTTTTCTGGTTTGTGTTTTTTTTTCTTTTAAGGCATTGAAAGTATGAAGAGATTAGGGCTGCAGGACCTTATCAGATTGCAAGAAACAGTGAGTCTTTTTTTAGTACAGGAGGTGTATTTGGTGCCATCTGGTTCCTTTGCAGAACTGATCCTGAGAGTGTATTTATTTTGCTGTTTTTGTCATATATGTTTGTTTTTATTAAGCCACTTCTTTCCTGATTACCTGCATCTCCTCCTCCGTGCTCACTGCTGGAAGCTACAAGAGTGTCTTTGGTGATGGGTAGAGACAAGAGTCAGTAATACCCTTCTCTTCACACCCTATCTCCCTCTTCTGTTTTGCCCTTACAGAGCTGGTCTTCATGAAGGAAACGAGCTATTTGGGCTTTTTATTCAATACCATATAGCAGAACCACAGTAGTCTTCTACTTCATGCCCAGCGTCCTGGCCTAGGACCGCTCTTGCACTGTGCTGGGCACAGTGCAGCAGAGACGTTAATGCAAGAAGAGGGCCCTCTTTGCTGTGCTGGACAAGAGGGAAGGCCACTGCTCTTGTCTGTAGAGCTGTGAGCTGAAACCTCATGTCGCCATTTGTGTTTGTGCAGTCCCTCTTGTCACTCTGGGGATTCACGGTCAAGGTTGGTCCAAATCGGGCACGAGCACATCGTGTGTTTTGGCAGGCAAGCAGAGTCCACCGCGCAATCCCCCAGGACAGGGAAGGGATCACAGAGGATGTCATTTGGTGAAGGCCTCTCTAGGGCTGCAGGGCATGGGATGGCTTATCCCCCAGCTGGGCTGCCCAGAGAGAGGCATTTTGTGCCACGGAACAGTTCTTGAGCCTTGGAATGTAATAATTCGTACTTACCAGGTACTTTCAGCCCACAGATCTGAACAAGGGTAAGTACTGGTATCTCCATGCTGCTGCAGAGTGCTGAAATGGACTGGTGTGCCTCTGTGTACCTGCGCTTTACAGCACAGCGTAAGCTGTGGGCAGCCAGAACAGAAGCCTGTAGCAAGCCCTTGACCTGTGAGCCTGCTAGTACGGCTACAGCCCTCCCAACACAAATGGTCAACTCCCACCTGAATGTGCTTCTCGGGAGGGTTACTGATCACTGCTATGTTAACCAGCATCAGGGTGCCCTTCGTTACACCGCTCTGTGCTGAACTCACTGCTTGCGCTGTAATTGATACTGCCTTAAACTGCCTGGGTGAGCTGTGACTTCTGCCCGTTTTGTTCATGGAGTGAAGACTAATCTGCCCAGTTATCATAGTTTAAAAATGTAGCATCACAGCATTTTTTTTCTCTCAGTGCTTTGAATTCACATAGTTGTTTAAAACAGAGAAAATGCATAAACGACCAACTCAAGCACAAAAAGGAAGCCTACAGACAGGTTGGTGGAAGCAAAGACCAGTAGCCTGGGAGGAATACAGAGAAATTGTCCGATCAGCCAGGGACCAGGTCAGGAAAGCTAAAGCCCTGATAAAATTAAATCTGGCCAGGGACATCAAGGGCAACAAGAAAAGCTTCTACAGGTACACTGGAGATAGAAGGAAGACTAGGGAAAATGTGGGCCCTCTCCAGAAGGAAACAGGAGACCTGGTTACCCAGGATGTGGAGAAGGCTGAGGTACTCAATGACTTTTTGGCTCAGCCTTCACCAGCAAGTGCTCCAGCCACACCACCCAAGTGGCAGAAGGAAAAGGCAGGGACTGGGAGAACGAAGAACCACCCGCTGTAGGAGAAGATCAGGGTCGAGACCATCTAAGGAGCCTGAAGTTGCACAAGTCCATGGGACCTGATGAGATGCATCCACAAGTCCTGAGGGAACTGGTGGATGAAGTGGCTAAGCCACTAGCCATCATATTTAAAAGGTGAAACGTAACCCCCATTTTTTAAAAAGGGAAAAAAGGAAGACCCAGGGAACTACAGGCCAGTCAGTCTCACCTCTGTGCTCAGCAAGATCATGAAGATCCTCCTGGAAACTATGCTAAGGCACATGGAAAATAAGGAGGTAACTGGTGACAGCCAGCATGACTTCACTAAGGGCAAATCGTGCATGACCAATTTGGTGGCCTTCTACGATGGGGCTACAGCATTGGTGGATAAAGGAAGAGCAACTGACATCATCTGCCTGGACTTGTGTAAAGTATTTGACACTGTCCCGCATGACAGCCTTGTCTCTAAATTGGAGCGACATGGATTTGATGGATGGACCACTCGGTGGGTAAGGACTTGGCTGGATGGTTGCACTCAAAGAGTTGTAGACAACGGCTCAATGTCCAAGTGGAGACTGGTGATGACTGGTGTTCCTCAGGGGTAAGGATTGGGACCAGCGCTGTTTAACATCTTTGTTGGTGACATGGACATTGGGATGGATTGTACCCTCAGCAAGTTGGTGGATGACACCAAGCTATGTGGTGCGGTCAGCCCACTGGAGGGAAGGGATGCCATCCAGAGGGACCTGGACAGATTGAGAGGTGGACCCATGTGAACCTCATGAAGTTCAACAAGGCCAAATGCAAGGTTCTGCACATGGGTCAGGGCCATCCCAAGCACAAATACAGGCTGGGCAGAGAATGGATTGAGAGCAGGCCTCAGGAGAAGGACTTGGGAGTGCTGGTTGACGAGAAGCTCAACATGACCCAGCCATGTGTGCTGGCAGCCCAGAAGGACAACTGTATTCTGGGCTGCATCACAAGCAGCGTGACCAGCAGGTCGAAGGAAGGGATTCTGCCCCTCTACTGTACTCTCATGAGAACCCCCCTGCAGTATTGCCTTCAG